TTCTTTCTTTCTTTTTCTTTTCCTTCCTTCCTTCCTACCTTTTTCCCTTGTCTGTCTTCAGCATCTTTCAATCCTTCAGTCCTTCCTTCCTTTTTTCCCATCTGTCTTCAGCATCTTTCAATCCTTCAGTCCTTCCTTTTTTCCCGTCTGTCTTCAGCATCTTTCAATCCTTCAGTCCTTCCTTCCTTTTTCCCTTGTCTTCAGCATCTTTCGATTCCTTCCTTCCTTCCTTCCTTCCTTCCTCCCTCCCTCTTCTCTGTGGCATCTCCTTAGATATTGGAAGACTGCTATCATGTTTTCCCCTTGTCCTTCATCAAACTACCCAATTCCTGCAACCGTTCTTCGTAGGCTTGAGCCTCCAGTCCCCTAATCATCTTTGTTGCTCTTCTCTGCACTCCTTCAAGAGCTTCGGTATATATTTTTTTTCTATCTTGGTGGCCAGAACTGAACACAGCATTCAAAAAGAAAGAAAGAAAGAAAGAAAGAAAGAGAGAGAGAGAGAGAGAGAGAGAGAGAGAGAGAGAGAGAGAGAGAGAGAGAGAGAGAGAGAGAGAGAGAGAGAGAGAGAGAAAGTTGGCCTGTGTCTGGATGTTCTTGACGTTAGTTATGGAAGCCCACCACAAAGTTGCATTCTACCTTCCGTAGAATGCCCATCAAAAAGGCCAATTTCCAGCTCTTCTCTCTCTTCTCCTCCTCCTCCCCAAAGGAACCTGGTCTATTTAAAAGGCTGTAGACCGTCTCCGTTAACTTTCTGACGTCCCCACCAGCTTTCATTACTGGTTAAGGGTCAACTTGCTGGTTGCTGCTTCTATTTGAGCTTCAAAGGCTCGGTGAGAAGAAAGATCATCCCAAACCGGGCTGCCCAGCATTTGCGCTCCACCAAAGAGCAACTGCAGAAATAAGAGAGTTGCGTTCTCTTTTGATCACAGGCCTTTTGAAGATGGTTTGTGTGTGTGTGTGTGTGTGTGTGTGTGTGTGTTGTTTAAAAACAACAACACAACCTCGATATCCTGATAGAAAGAGGAAGAATGTTACCACCCAAAGTTCTTCTGTTTTTGCAGATCATAATAACTATTGACACCCCTTAGCGTGCCGCACCGGGAGAAGAGACAAACAATGGCGCCTGAATCTAGTTTTTTTTAAGATAAACGGATCGTGTATTCGGCTCGTGAAATTAACCAAGCATTTTCGCAATGCAAATGAACAATTTAGGGGGGAAAAAAACCAACACCGTTGTTTTTCTGTTTAGTTTAATTTCCTTTAGAATAATCAACCCTTTCCAAAGATGCTAAGTGAATATTGAGGAGGCAGACGGAAGCTTTGCGGTACCGAAGCAACCTGAATTTAAACGACCTTCCAGAGGAAATTGTGTTTAACCTGGATCGTGGGAGTTTAGCCCTCTGAATTTCAGCCCTCAAAAAACGACTAAAATGCCAACTTCAGTGTGACACAGTTTCAGACATCACAAATCTATCCGTGTCTTTATTCAGAAGTCAATCCTATATATCTATATATATTTATAACACTTGGGGCCTTAGTTCCAATCAAGGAACGATCAACTCAAACAAGCTAACAATAAACAATGGTCTAATCAGGGAAACACCAAGAACACTCCCATCAATGCTGACAGGACAAGCTGCTAGTGTATAAATCAAGAGCAAACCCCACTCCCTTCTAGAACTGATGATGTTACCTAGTTTGGTAATGAAATGTCTGCACAGAAACCATTAAGCACCAAGGACCCCACAATCNCCTCCTCCTCCTCCTCCTCCTCCTCCTCCTCTTCTTCTTCTTCTTCTTCTTCTTCTTCTTCTTCTTCTTCTTCTTCTTCTTCTTCTTCTTCTTCTTCTTCTTCTTCTTCTTCTTCTTCTTCTTCTTCTTCTTCTTCTTCTTCTTCTTCTTCTTCTTCTTCTTCTTCTTCTTCTTCTTCTTCTTCTTCTTCTTCTTCTTCCGCTCCATAAACCCCTCTCTCTTCTAGCACTGATGATGTTATCTGGTTGGGTAATTAAATGTCTTCACAAAAAAACATTTAGCTCAGAGAACACCAAGGATCCCAGTTTTCCTCCTCCTCCTCCTCCTCCTCCTCCTCCTCTCTGCAAACCACAATCCTTTCTAGCCCTGATGACGTTATCTAGTTAGGTAATGAAACGTCCGCAAGAAAACAAGCTCAGAGACCACCGAGGACCCCACGTCGAATTTTAAAAATGGAAAACGCTTGTTCCAGGTTTCTAGAGTCAAGGATACCCCGGACTGCTGAATTTAAATTCCCGAACTGAGCAGGGGAAGTGAGGTTGATGGCCTCCAGAGTCCTGTTTAGCTCCTTTCACAGTCCTTGCTTCCAATATTCCAAGAAGAAAAAAACCAAATGAGCATGTTCCATCTGCTTCCCTGCAGGAGATGCACAGGGCTCACTCTTTCGCTGAAATAATTTATGCAGGGTGGAAGCGAACGGCAGCCGAGAAAACTACAATTCTAGAACTCCTTGACGAGCCGAAAACAAACAGATCGCAAGGGGCAGGTGGCACCCGTCCAAGGAGTTTTCAAGAAGCAAACAGGAAGCAGCAGACCGTCTGTCAAAAATATGTATCGCATCTTCGAAATTGTCTTTGGGACCGGAGAACTGGATAATGGCCAACGGCAAGGCTGGGGTTTTTTTTTGCTTTGTTTTTGGGAAAAAAAAGAAAGAAATAGAACTCAGGTCCAAGAAATTACATGGCAGTTTCCTCTTAGGTTTGGTCTTGAGCAAGGAAGAAGGGCTTTTTCTGGGCTTGGAAGCAGCCACCACTTGGTTTTTGAAAGCAATCCCAAGAAGACCTTCCGTGGAAAATGGGCGCGGGAGGACCTACATGGCTTTAGATTTAGATAGAATGGAATGGAATGGAATAGAATATAGAATAGAATAGAATAGAATAGAATAGAATAGAATAGAATAGAATAGAATAGAATAGAATAGAATAGAATAGAAATGAGTGGAGTGGAGTGGAATTGAATAGAATAGAATAGAATGAAGAATAGAATAGAATAGAATAGAATAGAATAGAATAGAATAGAATAGAATAGAAATGAGTGGAGTGGAGTGGAGTGGAATGGAATAGAATGGAATAGAATAGAGTGGAGTGGAATAGAATAGAATAGAATATAGAATAGAATATAGAATAGAATAGGCTAGAATAGAACAGAACATGGAATGGAATAGAATGGAATAGAATAGAGTGGAATAGAATAGAATATAGAATAGAATAGAACATGGAATGGAATAGAATGGAATAGAGTGGAATAGAATAGAATATAGAATAGAATAGAACAGAACATGGAATGGAATAGAATATAATATAGAATAGAATATAATATAGAATAGAATAGAATAGAATAGAATAGAACAGAACAGAACAGAACATGGAATGGAATAGAATAGAGTGGAATAGAATAGAATAGAATAGAGAGTAGAATAGAATAGAATATAGAATAGAATAGAACATGGAATGGAATAGAATAGAATATAGAATAGAATAGAATATAGAATAGAACAGAAGAGTTGGAAGGGCCCTTGGAGGTCTTCTAGTCCAGCCCCCTGCTTAAGCAGGAGAACCTATACCATCTCAGACAAGTGACTGTCTAGTCTCTTCTTAAAAACCTCCAGTGATGGAGCGCCCACAACTTCTGGAGGCAAGCTGTTCCACTGGTTGATTGTCCTCACTGTCAGGAAGTTTCTCCTTAATTCCAAGTTGCTTTTCTCTTTGATAAGTTTCCAACCGTTGTTTCTCATCCTGCCCTCTGGTGCTCTGGTGAACAAAGTCACCCCCTCTTCCTTGTGGCAGCCCCTCAGATACTGATACAGATAATGATCAGCACGTCTTATTCCAGGCTCAGTCACGGACATAAGTGGAGAACCACCTGTACTTTTATTACGAATGGATGACTTGAAATCTTTGGAAGGATTTGTGTTTGTTCACGCTACCCTTGTTTCTTTATGAATCAGGATTTTGGGTTTTTTGTTTGTTTTTTTTAAATGCACAACTGATTTGTGAATACAAAGGGCTTTTACACAATGTGCTCTGTCTTAAGAGCACGTATCTGTAAGCATTTTCTCATTACAAAATCTGCATGTTTAACCAAGTGGGTGCTTTAGGGAGAGGGGCAGGCAGCATGGTAAAACACAGAGAAGGGAGAAATGCAAAGGATAATTATATTCTAAACAGGGCATCCATTTGGGAACCGCAGAGGAGCTGAGCGGATAACGGAATTCCCAGAAATAGAATTATCAGCAAAACAAACAAAATTTCTCCAATGAATCTTGCAACTTCTTAATACGTACCATAGACTGGAGACCACTCTAGTTTTAGCAAAAGAAGGGGGGGGAAAAAAAACCAAAACTTGATATTCATTTTTGCAGAAAGAAAAGGGCTTCAATTGCTTATTCTACCTCCAGAGCATCATGTTGTTTTGGCTGAGTCCACACTGCTCTAAGACGCAGTTTAGGGAATAAGCCATCATTCCCTGGGCTCACACATCACCTCAATCCATCGGTCTCTTTTCCTCGTCTTTAGAAGGAGAGATTTCCGATCCTAACTTTGACTTTCTTCGTTTTTCCCTTCAACTCAAGCCACACTCACTAGCCCTGATGATGTTACCTAGTTGGGTAATACAACGACTGCAAGAAAACAACCAAGCTCAGTTACTGTATATAAACAGGAAGCAAGTCACAAACACCAACACTGATGAGGTTACCTAGTTGGGTCACGAAACGTCTGCAAGCTAACAACCCAGCTCAGAGAGCACCGAGGTCCACACAAATCAATCGAATAATACTAGCAAAAAAAGCCACAAGCAATCCAGCCCAAATCAAGCCACAATCTGCTTAATGGGATGTGAGAATCCTTCGAATCAACAGGTCCACGAGACGCCTCCTTCTGAACTTTTCAGGGAAGTGGATAAAAGAGAGACAGATTATTTTCAAGGCGGTCTCTTGTTTTAATAACAAAAATAAACAAAAAACTATGAAGAGTTTGATCCATTTGTCTAGCTTGAGTTTGCAGGCGAAATAATACATAAGACAAATGTAAAAGGACGGTTCATGGAGTCTTTTCACTGGGGATCGTTTGGTCCCAAGACTGGATCCAGGAGAGATCTTGAGAAGGTGAGGACCAAGACTGGATCCAGGAGAGATCTTGAGAAGGTGAGGAACAGGTTTCAGAAAGCATGGAGAACACCTACCCTTTCTGAAAGTAAGTAAATGAGATTCCTTTTGAAGCACCAGGTCCTGATCTTCAATCATAATATTAAGATGGAAAGTGGGGTGGAAAAAAACCCCCCAAAAATAACTGTAGAAAAGGGACAGAAAAATAAAAAGAAATGAAGAGTGAAAGGATGAGTTTTTATTCATATCAGCAGATGTTCAAGGGCAGACTCGTTCGGGGGCCAGCTTAGATCTTCTTGAAAGCCATCCAGGAATTCATATCAAGCCACGAGGTTGAGTTTTGAGAGATGGACTTCTCAATTCTTGGTTGAACAAGGTCATTATCATGGAACCGGTCATGATGGGCCGCCCAAAGCTGCATTTAACCCTTCTGACCTTTATGGAAATATTGATCTCGGTCAAGGAGAAATCAGAACTCATAGCTCTACGGAAGGTTGACTTCTGTCTTGAGTTTCTTCAGATCCATCTTCTACTTCCAGATGTTCTTGTTGGCTTCTAGGTTGGCTTATTGGCGACAGGTGTCATGGAAGGCTTCTAAGGTCCGAAAATCCCTCCAGGTTGGGGGGAGGCCATCCTGCAGGAATTTCCCACAACGTTGGCACGGAGCTTGGAACAGCTTGATGTAACTTCTCAGCCAGGTCTGAAAAAGAAAGCAGAAGAAGACTTAACATAGGACCACTCAGCATCCTTGAGGAAATATGGAAGGCCGGAGGGTTACCTGTGCTTCTATCCTCGTGGGATACTTGGTGTTTTTCCCAACTTTCTCAAGAGGCCAGGGCAGAAACAGCCCTGCCAAGCAGTCCTCAAGTTACAACAGTTCATTTGGTGACCTTGGGTTTTGACCACGTGGGAACGGCGCAACGGTCGTTAAGTGTGAAATACAGGTCATAGGTCACTCTTTTCAGTGCCGCTGCAACTTCAAACGGTCACTAAATGAACCACTGCTAAGTTGAGGACTGCTTGTAAATAAAATAACTTTTTCGTCAAAGGAACAAAAGAGAAAATGGAGACCGTACAGAAGAATGGTTCGTAGGGAAAATAGGGGAAAAAAAGGGAGGGTTATATTTACACTCTTCTTGACAGCAGTCACCGAAATATTTGTGCTGTGCCCTCTCTCTCTCTAAGGTTACATCACAATTTCCTTCCTCCGTAAACTAAGTCTTTCTAATCTTCGGACTCATAAATCACGGGTTCCATTTTTTCTCTCTCTCTCTCTTTTACAGCAAAAAAGTCCATGGGGCTTTCCAGGCGGGCTTAAAGTAGCTGTTGATCTTTTTTTCTAATTAAACTGATTAATTTTGCCGCTCGTTCTGCCGTCTTCCCCAGCCGTTCCTCTCCACTTTCGGAGCCTCTGAAATGTTGCGGTCCACGAAGAGAAAGGGAGCCAACGGCGATTTTAGCCCTCCCCATCCTTGTCCCGTTTTAGGACCTTCCTTGCCACAGCGGTGAATCGCTGCCGTTGTTAAGTTGTTAAGACACACGGTCGTTAAACGAGCCTGGCTTCTCCCCGTCGGCTTTGCTGGTGAGAAGGTCGCAAAAGGGGATCAGGTGACCCCCCTCCGGGACGCCGCAATCGTCATAAATATGAGTCGGTGGCCAAGCACTGTCTGAATTTGGATCCCGCGGCCCTGGGGACGCTGCGACGGTCGTAAGTGTGAGAAAAAGTCCCTTTTTTCCAGTGCCGTTGTAAACTTCAAACGGTCACTAAATGAACTGGTGTAAGTCAAAGACCATGTCAATGGTGTGACAATTAAGATCAATTAAGACCATTAAGGTTTTCATCTATCGGAAGCATGACAGGCTACTTGAGTGCTAAGAAAGAGAGGAATCGTTAAGGATGGCTTTCTATTGTTATCTAAGGTTAAGGCTCAAATGGAGTCCAGACTGAATTGCAGGCTTGAGGAGATACGTAGCAAAAAAATTAAATAAAACAAGTTTCTTGTTTTGCCAACTTTCTGGCACAATCAGATTCGAACTAGCCACAGGGCTCATGAATCTTCTCACGAGAAGGATGGTTATCGATCCAGGAAAATTGCTCTCTGAAGGCAACACGGACTGCCTTTATGAAAATGAATTCCTCGGTCTGGATTGGAGCTGCTTCTCTCTCTCTCTCTCTCTCAAGCAGTCAATAGCTTCCTCTCGCCTCCTCAGAGTATTCTCGGAGTAGACAAATCAAGGAGGTGGGCACTCAAACCGGACTGGCCAATGGTGGCTTATTCGAGCTCCATCTGACCGGGCCTCGCGTTCATCAAGAGCCTGGCGTAGAGACCGTACCGTCATTTGTCTGGAATGGTAGAAGGTCTCTGTTGTTCTGGGTTCTGGAGTCTCCTGCTCAAGCAGGGGCCTGGACTAGAAGACCTCCAAGGTCCCTTCTCACCGTTATTCCGTGTTCTGGAGTCTCCTGCTCAAGCAGGGGGTTGGACTAGAAGACCTCCAAGATCCCTTCCGAATCTGTATTCTGGATGTGCTAGAGGGAAAAATAGAGGCAGGTGGCCTTTATGGAACGTTTGTGTTCCTGTGATTAAAATCAAATCGAAAGCACACAGGGAATCCTCTATTTACAACCGTTCATTTAGCAACTGTTGGCACTGGGGGAAAAAAAGGGATGTATGACCAGGCCCCACACTTAAGATCAGTTGTAAGTCACTTTTTTCGGTGCCGTTGTAACTTTGAATGGAGGAGGAGGAGGAGAAGCAGGAGGAGGAAGAGGACTACTGTGGGGTCTTTGATGCTCTCTGAGCTTGGTGGTTTTCTTGCAGACGAAAGTACTAGGTTGATCCATTACAGTAGTCCCGATCTTCCCTCACCCTAACACCTCTTTTCCTCCTTCTCCTCCTCCTCCTCCTCGACACCCCAGGAACCACGAGAGACTCGAACCACCAAAAGAACGTCTGCAAATTAATGGGTAGGTCCATTGTCGTAGTCAAGACCTTCCCTTACCCTAAACGTCTCTCCTCCTCCAGGAGGAGGAGGAGGAGGAGGAGGAGGACTACTGTGGGGTCTTTGGTGCTCTCTGAGCTTGGTGGTTTTCTTGCAGACATTTAATTACCCATCCAGGTAACAGCATCAGTTCTGGAAGGGAATGGGATTTGCAGAGAGGAGGAGGAGGAGGAGGAGGAGGAGGAGGACAACGACGACTACTGTGGGGTCTTTGGTGCTCTCTGAGCTTGGTAGTTTTCTTGCAGACGTTTACCGTAATTACCCATCCAGGTAACAGCATCAGTTCTGGAAGGGAATGGGATTTGCAGAGAGGAGGAGGAGGAGGAGGAGGAGGAGGACAACGACGACTACTGTGGGGTCTTTGGTGCTCTCTGAGCTTGGTGGTTTTCTTGCAGACATCTGACGACCCAACTAGGTAACATCATCAGAGTCACTTTATCGGTGAGACGGACAGCATACCAAAGTAATAAAAACCTACCATAAAGGACCGGACAACCACATCAGGCATCTGTGGGAGCTGGTAATGCAACAGGGCTGTGGTTGCGTGATCCGTCACCTGCCGAGGAAGCAAGAAAGGAGAGCTATGAAACGCCAACCCAAATCATTCCAGCGGCTGCTATATTACAGGAAATCCTCAAATACAGGAAGTCCTCCACTTATCACTTATCGGGTCCTCCACGTGAATCAAAACTCAGCCAAGCTTGCCCACCGACTCATATTTATGACGGTCGCGGGGTCCCGGGATCGGGCGATCCCCTTTTTTGAGACCTGATGACCAGCAAAGTCTAGGGGGGGGGGTCTTCAAACCTGGCCCTTTCGTGACTTGTGGACTTCAATTCCCAGAATTCCTCAGCGCAATTCCTTTCTTTGGGCGCCCTGGAAGAGCCGCAGGTTTGCACGGGGTCAAAACAGGAAAGGAAGCAATTGCGCCGTTGGCTGAAGAGAGGCAGGGCTTCAAATCGCTCAAGCCGGCCGAGGCGGGTCGGGTGGCGCATACAGATGGTGGCCTTTCCTGCCGGCTCATCGCCCTTCAGCTCCTGTCAATTTAAATGCCGGCCCTGATGTTGGCGGTGCTACGTGCAATTCATCAGTGGGAGCACACAAACACACACACACACACACACACACACACACACACGGCCTTTGGCTCTGCTGTAGGGCAGGTAATTTTCTTCCCTCCTGGCGAGTCAGACGTCTTTGCCAATCCTCTGCTAAACAGCCCAACGTCTCCCAGCGGCCGTTCCCAGCCGGCGTTAAGAGAGTCAAGCAGGATGGGAGGTTTTGGGAGGAGATGGTTGGGAGAAAGAAAAAGATCATTCATTTATGAGGAAGGAAGGAAGGAAGGAAGGAAGGAAGGAAGGAAGGGAAGGAGGGAGGGAGGGAGGAGGGGAGGAAGAGAGGGGAGGAATCTAGTTATAGGAAGGAAGGGAGGGAGGGAGGAGGGAAGGAAGGAAGGGTCTAGTTATAGGAAGGAAAGAATCTAGTTACAGAAAGGAATTAAGGGAGAGAGGGAGAGAGGAAGGAATGAAGGGAGGGAGGAAGCAGGGGGTTGGACTAGAAGACCTCCAAGGTCCCTTCCAGCTGTTATTCTGTATCCATCACCAAGGAGGCTACTACTACTACTACTACTACTACTACTACTACTACTACTACTACTGCTGCTGCTGCTGCTAATAATAGTAATAGTAGTACAGCTACACTACTACCGCTAATTTGCTTCGGAGAGAAACAGGCGCCCCCATTAACAAACTGAAGTCAGGCGCCCGGCCCACCGAGTTCCTAATAGCTGGCTAATGAGATTTTGCTGCGAGGGAAAAACTTTATAATCGTATTTTCCAAACGGAACAAAGAGGGCGGCCAGCAGCAGCTTAGAGGAGCAGAGAGAGAAAGAGAGTGACGCGGCGTTTTGAACGCCATCAAAGGAGACGCTAAAGAAGAAGAAGGAGAAGGAGAAAAGAAAGGAGAGAGAAATCGCCCCATCGGTAACAAACGGGCGGGAGGGGGGAAAAAAACCCCCAAAACAAAACGCAAACATATTCCAGCTTCGTTGGAATTGTAATTTCTTTTCTTTTGTACGCGGCTGCTGTTTGGGGTGGGTGGAGAGCAGCAAAATTTCATCTCCTGTAAGCTGCAGATTAAAACCAGGAAAGCCAGGAGCCAAGGCAGAGCACGGGGTGCGTTTGAGGACCCACCTTCTCCATCTTCTACCTTTTTTGTGGGGTTTTCCCCCCCCCCTGTCGTTTTATCGTGAAACTTAATTAAAAGTTTACGATTAAAAAATAAAAGGGGGGAAAAAAGGGGCGAAAATCGCAGCAGGCCAGGGGTCAGTTTAACCGGCTGTCCTTGGGAGCAGATCCTCGCTTCTCCTTTGCGACGGCCGGAGAGAGAGACGGTCAATAATAATAATAATAATAATAATAATAATAATAATAATAATAATAATAATAATAATAATAATAATAATAATAATAATAATAATAATAATAATAATAATAATAATAATAAAGTTGGAAGGGACCTTGGAGGTCATCGAGTCCAACCCCCTGCTCAGGCAGGAACCCTACACCATTTCAGACAAACGGCTGTCCAGTTTCTTCTTAAAAACTTCCAGTGTTGGAGCATTCACCGCTTCTGGAGGCAGGTTGTTCCACTGGTTAATTGTTCTAACTGTCAGGAAGTGTCTCCTTAGTTCTAAGTTGCTTCTCTCTTTGATTAGTTTCCACCCGTTGCTTCTCGTCCTGCCTTCAGGCGCCTTGGAGAATAGCTTGACTCCCTCTTCTTTGGAGCAGCCCCTGAGATATTGGAAGACTGCTATCATGTCCCCCCCTCGCCCTTCTCTTCATTAAACTAGACATACCCAATTCCAGCAACCGTTCCTTATATGTTTTAGCCTTCAGTCCCCTAATCATCTTTGTTGCTCTTCTCTGCACTCTTTCTAGAGTCTCAGCATCAATATTAACTGATTATGCAGGCCTTCAGTACGCGCTTCTCCTCGGGAGATTAATGACGAGAGATGCATCTTCCTACATTAGGATACTGTTGGGGGTGCCCTTGTGGCACTGGGGCATGGGGGGGGAGGGCATGGAATTGGCCCACTTCAGAGAGCGGAAGATTTTGCGCCAAACTTAAATCTCGACGGCGCGAGATGCCACTTTATAACGCCTGGCTAAGGCCACGCTCGGCACGCTGCGTCCCGTTTTGGTCACCCCAACATGAAATAATTTTTATTTTTTTAAAAAAAAGGTGAGACTCTGTTATGAGCACCTTCTGTTTAATGATGAGGTATCTTGCTTTTTCCTTTTTTCCCGAAAGTAAATGTTCATGATGCCGTCAGGGTTGGGTGGTGGGGAAGAAAGAAAAAAAAAAGAGGAAGAAGGAAACG